TGCATCTGTCTGTTGGTGGTGGGAAGAGGGAGGAAGGTGCAGCAGGTGGGTACGTGTGCTCTCACTCTTTTTCCGCCCCATGGCTGGCAGAGGAAGGGAGGAAAGGGCTTCAGGAGGGATGCACATGTAGCTCCTCTGACCCTTGCTGGACGGGTTAAGGGATGGAGTTGCATCTGGTGGTCACATGCAGTGTTGCTGCCTTGTGTTAGGCAAGGGGAGGGAGGAAGAGGCTGCAGGAGTGTGCACACGCAGCCGTGTCTTCTCTTCCCCTCGCTGGGAGGTTTAGGGGATTGAGAGTCGTGCCTGGCGAATACAAGCACAGTGGTGCCACCTTGCATCAGCTGGGGGGGTGGGAGGAAGGGACTACAGGGGGCTGCATGCACAGTCACAGATTTTCTAACCCTCGCTGGGCTGGTTAAGGGATAGAATCGTGCTGGGTGCTGGCACAGAGGTGCTGCCTCCCACTGAATGGGGGAAAGGAGGAAGGAGCAGTGGGCGAGTTCTCTCGCTGTCCCGCTCCTGTTGTGGTGCCCCAGTCAGGCAAGGCAGTCAGGGTATGGCACCCTCTGCCAGCCTCTGAACATGAGGATGGAATGTGGGGGAGTGTGTTCCTCTGGCTTGGATACACAGGTGCCAGGGCACCTCATGTCCGCTGCAGCCAGTGTGTGGGACATGTCCTCTCTTGAGTGTGAGGAGGGGGGGCTGCCTAGGGACCAACTGGATGGGAGAGCTCCCGCCGGTACACTGCAGGTCCACTGCCTCGTACCTGCCACTCACCCCTACGGTCAAGGGCTGCTGCTTCTGCTATCTCCAGTTCTGGATCTGGCACCCTCCACAGAGGTTCTCTGTCCCTTTTGAGAAAGTAGTGACGTGGCCTTGCTGTTTTCTTTACCCAAGATCACTGCTGGCTTTGTCCTAAGTTAGCTGTGGCAGGCCAGGACAGCTGGCTGGGCGCCTCCGTTCCGTGTTACTCCTCTTTTGCTACTTTCTTTATTCCTTCCAGTAGGTGTTTGGTTCAGTTCTTAGACTTTCTTCTTTGACGTTTAGGGTTCCCAGATTGTTATCCTCCTGTTTCACTTGGGTTTTTTGGGTCTTTGGAGCAGGGGGGCATTATGGTGCAAGAGACTAAGCCGCCATCTTGGCTCTGCCCCTGCGTGAGAATTTGTTAGTGGCTCACTGTGCTTGACAGCGAGAAGCCCTGTTCAGAATCAGGAGACAAGAAGCTGAACTTGCGAAGTTTATTTCTACTGCTTCAGAAAAAAAAAGTCTTAGCTTATTTCTCCAGGACATTTCAACGATTGTGAGGATGGCATAGGACCAGGCAGCATTTCATTCTGTTATACATAAGGGTGCTATGAGTCGGAGCCAACTCAATAGTACTCAACAACGACTTGAGTGCATTTCTATCCCCTTAAGAATCGGAAGTCTCGTTTGTGATTACTGAAAGTGTGTGTAAATAAAGAAGTTTGTCTCTCATTGCACATCTTGAGTGTACAACACAATGAATGTTCACAAAGTGAATGTACCTTTGTAAACTATTGCCTAGATCAGAAAGTAGAATATCACCAGCACCCTGGAAAGCCCCTTCTGGCCCCTCCCAGTTTCTACCCCTCCCCAAAGTTAGCAACTAACCTGACTTCTGTCACTGTAGATGAGTTGTCTTTTGAACTTTACAGCTGCTCTCCTAAATGCCCTGACCACGTAGTCACATATAAAGATGCTTCTTTGTGGGGCTGGTACAGCAGACAGAGCCAGCTGGTTTCTCCCAGCCCCGATGACTGTCAGGCTGGCCTGTCACCCGCTGCCCGGCTCATCTTCAGGAATGTGCATGTTTGGCTCCTCTGGAGCCACCCCCCAGTTCTCAGTTACAGCCTCCTCTTGGGCTCCCAGTAGAGCAGCTGCCTGAGAAGTGGCTTCCCCGGGGCTCCTGTTAGCAGCTGCTTGTTGGGTGGCTAACCACTCTGATGGGCCCAACTGGAATGGGGGAGGAACTCCCTGGCCTTTCTGTGTTCGTAATTAATTCCAGTCAAATTTATTTCTAGGATTCAGCTCTGTAAAAGTTCATTGTGTGGAAGTACTGGGTTACCGAGTAGTCACATCAACAGCACGTCCTGTAGTGCCTCCCCACAGGCGCTCCGTCACATCGTGCTCCCCGCCCAGGTTTTAGTCAACACTTCTAACGCATTGGTCCTTCTCCTTGTGTCACTTAGGAGGCTTGTTCTCTAAAGCATTTATTTAACCTTACAGTCTAGACCTAGAATGTATTTAGAACAAATAATCTTGCTAAAAATTAAACCAGAGCATGTCACTCCTGTGAACAAAACCTACCAAATTGCTTTCCTTCCCACTCACACTGGAAGCCTTCGCCCTTGCTGTGCCTCTGCCTGAAACTGAAATGCACGATCCGATCTCTGCACCGCTCTCTCCTCACCAGGCTCTCTCCTCACCAGGCTCCCCCCGCACCGCTCCCCCCACACGGCTCCCTCCGCACCGGGCTCCCTCCACACCGGGCTCCCTCCTCACCGCTCCCTCCACACCGCTTCCTCCACCAGGTTCCCTCCACCAGGCTCCCACCGCACCACTCCACTCCCTCCGCCAGGCTCCCTCCACTGGGCTCCCTCCACACTGCTCCTTCTACCAAGCTCCCTCCACCAGGCTCCCTCCTCACCACCCTCACAGCCTCATGTAAACAGCTTCTTTGCAGTGAGACCTTCCCTAAACACCATATTTAAATCACAGGTCGTCCCCCCCCCCCCTGCCCCAAATACTCTGGGTCCTCCTTCCCTGCTTTATTTTCCCCTCTGGAATGAAGATTCCACTGAGGGCAGAGAGTCGGTTTTGTTCACGACCCTATTCCCAGCGCCTGGCTCATAGTCAGCACTTGATACACGTTTGCTGAATGAACGAACATTATCTGTATTCTACATATGGGTAACGCGAAGGCCAAGAGGGGACGGTGAGTTGCCCCACAGCCCACAAGCAGTCTGGGATGGCACAGACATTGGAACACCTCCTTGCCTCAGACTCGTCCTCTGCAGCCAGCTTCTCAGTAGGACACCTCGAGCCTCCAGTGTGAAGCTCCTCACAGGGAAAGCTTTCCATTCTAAGTGTCTGTGTCCTTTTCTTTCTTGGGGCCCACCTGAAAGCCTAGGCTGTTCTGCAGGGAGAAAGCTGTTGAGTGTATGTCATAATTGTCATCTATACTCGTGTGGCCAGAAGATGGGAGAAGGATGCCTCTGAGGAGCATCTAACCTTCTGACTCTGGTCTGGGGCCGATGTCCACGTTGTGTCTAACTTCACCTGGCAGGCGGCAGTGTTAGGAGCCTTGCCATCTTTCTTAACTTTTCTAACTGCCTTTGTTTTCATTTTTTTTACCACGTGCTCAGATCTTCTTTTGCTGTGACCCCACAGCAGTTTGCTTTTTCCTCTCCTTCTTTTGGCCTATTCATGAACAATTCAGGTCTAGGGGATTTTTCACTTTAAGAAGAACTTTTGAAAAGTGAATCCAAGTGAAGTTCACATGGATTTATTTTCATTTCCACTCATAAACTTTCTTTTAAGTCATTTAAATGGAAAAGTAAAAAATGAAATCAACTTGTCTCACAGATTTTTCCTACTCTACCTCAGCTCTTCAGAAACGGAGTTGTCTAGCTTTGCAGGATAAACAGCTTTGTCCTCGTTTTCTTTCCAGGTTGTGTCTACACTGCTAATAAACATAATCCCAAAAGACCACATCCCACTGAACTTATCCGGAAAGGCCAAAATCAGTGGGAAAGCCTGGGTGAAGGAGTCTCCTCGACCTGTTCCAGGCTTTAACCCCGACTCTATGTGCGAGTCCCAGGTATGGCTGCCCGGTTTGATGGGCTTGAGACATCTAGTACTGGATTTAGACAAGTTATTTTGAAACCAAGGCAGGAAAGGGAGGCATACCCACAGAAACAGGTGTCATGCCTCAGAAGGAGTTGTGCCTGAGTTGGTGTTGACTTGATTTCAGAAAGAGTCAGGGTAGGTCTCTAGCATTGACTCCTGCTATAAAAGTCACAGCCTGTTTGAGAAGACCTTTCTTGCAAAAGGCCTGTGAACTTGATTCTGCAAAGCTTAGAAAAGCAGAGCATGTTTCTCCTCAAAAACCCTTGAATGACTCAAGATAGTCGAACTGCTGTGAGCTTCTGTACCTTCCCAGCCCCGTGCCTTAGGGATGAGGCCTCAGGAGGGCAGTCCTGGGGCAATGCTGAAGCAGGAGAGCTGGGTAAAGATTTCCAGGGCCTCTGGCTGTTCTTGGTAGGAGTCTAGGCTCCACTGCGGTATATCTCAGTCCTTAGCTCACAGCATGCTCTGTAACAGGGTCTTAACGGACAGTCCATTCAGACCTGGGGCTTCCATTTTTCTTTCCCTTCGTCGATCTTATGCCTAATGCATGCTACTTTATATAGATGGAGATCTTTTTATTTTAATTACCTTGTAATGCTTTAGCCTGACTTTGTGAAAGTGCAAATTCAGGCCTCAGAGGGTGTTAGAAAAGTTCTGTTATTCTTATTCCCAGAGGGCCAGGGGGACCTCGGCCAAAGACCTGGCTCTGGAGTTGAGACTCTAGATGTTCTCATTTCCAGTGACGGGTATTTGTCAAGGCCACTTGACCTGGAGTCAGTATATGGAAGAGAGAGAGCAAGAGGATATATGAACACACTGAAGTGTGTGTGTGTGCTGGGTTCCCAAAGAAAAAAAGTAAAAACCATTGGTCTGTGTATGCCCACCTCCTTTATTTTAAAAAAAGGTTTAATTTATAACCTCCTTTTATCCATCCAGGACTTGAGGTTACAGTGAGGGGATACACACAGCAAGGTTAATAAGACCCCGAGTAGAAGAGACAGGGTTTTCTCTAGCCCAGCATTGGCGGCCTTTCCCTTTGCAGGTGATCATCAGAGAAGGTGAGCTGCTCTGCGGAGTGCTGGACAAGGCGCACTACGGGAGCTCTGCCTATGGCCTGGTCCACTGCTGCTATGAGATCTATGGGGGTGAGACCAGCGGCAAGGTTCTCACCTGCCTGGCCCGCCTCTTCACTGCCTACTTGCAGCTCTACAGAGGCTTCACCTTGGGTGAGTGCCCTGCGAGTAGCCCGGGGCCTGCCCCCCTCTCCTGTGGCCTACCCCCCTCCTGTGGCCTGCCTCGTCTCCCGCGGCCTGCCCCGCCTCTCCCGTGGCCTGCCTCCTCTCCCGTGGCCTATCCCCTCTCCCGTGGCCTACCCCCCTCCTGTGGCCTGCCTCCTCTCCCGTGGCCTGCCCCGCCTCTCCCGTGGCCTGCCCCCCCCCATGGACTGCCTCCTCTCCCGTGGCCTATCCCCTCTCCCGTGGCCTACCCCCGTCTCCCGTGGCCTGCCCCCCTCTCCTGTGGCCTGCCCACTCTCCCGTGGTTTGCCCCCTCTTCTGTGGCCAGGCCAGCTGCCAGCCTGTCTCTCTGGCTCTGCTAGCAGCCTCCAGTGTCACAGCCAGACTTCTTCTGCCAAGGACATCCTTCCTTGTCACCAGCGACATTTCACAGCCTCCCTCCCCTCAGTGCTTTCCACCCCCTCCTGTCTCATAGCCAGTGTTTCTTTACTTTCCACAGCACAGGGACCCGCCATCCCACTCTCATTCTGTTCTTTTCCTGACGTATCTTTATAGTTTTTTTGTTCATGAGACTGATTTCCCATACTCATATACACCCCACATTCTCTCCTGCAAGTGTCCTTCTGAAATTCCCTGGGCCCTGCCCCTCCACAGTGGATCTTCCTGCTGTCAGAACTACCTGTGCCTTCCCAAAGCAACGGGGACATTGGTGCCTTAGGAAACACTGGGCCGGGGCAGACCTGTTGGGGTGAACCTAAGATAGGAAAGGGAGCTGCTTTGTTTCCTCCCTGGTAATGAGAGCACAGCGGTTTAAGAATCGGCTTTTATAAGGAAAACAAATGTGCTGTTAGTTTCTGTGCCCTGGATGGAATGGAGATCAGAACAGCTGCCAAAGCACTGGGCCTCTAGCTGAGCCTGTTTAGGGTGGCGTTTCCACCCATGCCCGGGGGTATGAGTGCTTGGTTTGCAGGTCCCTGTGAGGATTAAGTGAGGTGCTTTCTGTTGAGCACATATCACGGTATGTGTAGGACTTGTGCTGTGGATGATGCTGTTAAAGGTGGAACTGAGACTGTGCTTCATGGGACTTGCCTGCATGCAGAGATTCTGGGATTCCCACCATGGGGGCCTGTGGGCATGCCACAGCCAGAGTTTGTTCATTAGCCTACGCTGGTGGCTGCATTACACGTTCTCTTCTGTTTTTTAATTATGTATTAGTTACAGAAAAGTCAAAACAAACAGACGTGAAGAAAATTTAAAATCACCCAGCATCCAACTGCCGGAGATAACCACTAGTATCAATTTGATGTGTGTCTTTCTGGACTTTTCCATTAAAAAATATCCTAAACTACATAGTTGTAGTCTCCTTCCTCCCCGCCCCCTGCTATTTCCAAATATATTTCTATTGAATCAGTTTATATAAATTTTATATACTCACGTCTAATGACTGCAGATTATTCCAGTTGTGTGGAGATACTATATAGATTATTTGACCAGTCCCTGTCATTAAACAATTAAACATTGAGGTTTTCTCCAGGTTTTCACCATTCTTGCTGGGATGAGCACCTTTGAACCTCTTGGCTTGAATGTTCAGTTCTTTTACCAGGATAAGGATTACAGATGATTAGTCTATCTGGGGGCTGAAACTGACCCTCGCTTATCCTGATTCCTGTAACTGGCCTGAACTGCTGATGGAGGCATCTGTGTCCAGGATCATTCACTGCGCATTGGGAATTAGACTAGACTCCCTTTCAGAGTAACTGAAGAAGCGATATATGATGACTGAAATTAACAAGGTCACTCTTGTAAAATGTAAATCAATTTCAGAAGGTCATCGAGAATAAGCACAAGCGTTTCTGATAACAAGAAAAGCTCAGAGAGCTTTAGAAACAAAAAGTAGAGGAATCCCCCAGATTGTAACAAGGAGCAGACTTAATAAACAGGCCATGCTGGCAGCTGGGCTTAGCACATGGTACAGGGAGAAGCGGCTGCCTGACTCCAGATGCCGGGAGGCTGGGCCCCAGAGAGAGGGAGCAATGCCAGGCTGGGTGGGAGCAGGGCTCAAAGGGAGGGGCCGGCGAGTATGTTCCCTTCACTCCAGTCCTTCAGTCCAGAGAAGGTCAGTGAGGGGACAAGCACGGTGGCCTGGACTGACCCATCGAAGGCCCACATTAGTGGTTATGACTGCCTCACAGAAGGACATTTCTTTCCCCTTCCACTCACAAGTGTTCTTTAGAAGCCTTCAGGCTTCCAGGACATTGCACTGGAAATTCCAGGCATTTTAGCCCAGCCTTTGAACAGTGCAGCCATTGTTGTCTTCTCTGCTCAGATCTTGGTTGACCGACTTTGGAGTCCAGTAGCACACACAGATACAGGCAGAAAACAGTTGATTAGTAGTTGAAGTGGAAAGACTTACTGCTTTAATTGAGGGATTCCTCAACCCTTTGGATCTGGAGGTCAGACTTAAGTGACTGAGGCTTTTATCCTTAAAAGGCGATGCAGAGGAGCCTGTTGTAGTGGCCCTGTCACAATCATTAGGGTGTGGCTGTCGTCCTTGTGACAGGTGACTTCTGGGAGCCAAAACCGGGATGTTCTCTCCCTTCCTCTTCCCCTAAACTCAGCCTCTCATCAGAAGCCTCTTCTTCACCTCCAGGACACAGGCAGTGTAGCCGAGGGGGGAAAACACAGGTTTGGGACTCAGACCTGGGCTTACTTCCTACGTGTGTGACCTTGGACGTGTACCTCAATTTTAAGCCTTAGTTCCATCGTTTGTAAAATGGGAATTATAATGCTGGCCTCTGGTGAGCATTTCAGAGATGGTGCACTCATTGATAATAGTGTTAGTATCATCCGTGGTATTCAGGTGCTTCCTGTGTCGCAGCCTGCGCTCTGCCCGACCTCACCGAGTTTACAGTCTGGTGAGATGTCAGGTTCCATCTGAGCTTGTCTGTTTCACTTCACAGACGTAGAAGACATTCTGGTTAAGCCAAAGGCAGATGTCAAGAGACACAGGATCATCGAAGAGTCCACCCACTGTGGGCCCCAGGTAAGGGGGACCGGGCAGCCCCAGACTGTGTGGAATGGTTGTGTCTCCTAAGGAGTGGACCACCCCCCCACCCCCCACTTGGCCGGAGCCTGCCACCTGTTCCTTTCCTCATTCTAGGCCGTCAGGGCTGCATTAAACCTGCCGGAAGCTGCGTCCTGTGATGAAATCCGAGGGAAGTGGCAGGATGCCCATCTGGGCAAAGACCAGAGGGATTTTAATATGATTGATCTGAAGTTCAAGGAGGAAGTGAACCATTACAGCAATGAGATTAACAAGGTTAGCCCAGTAGTACCTGCATGCAGTACCACATTCTGAATGCTGGTTTTAAAAAAAATTACATTTTGATTCTCACCTGGGTTCCTCTGGAGCAATTCATATGGCTGTTCAATAGCTGACTGGGCTAGATGCGAGGTGGGACAGGTAGAATCCATCAGTTTGAGGGGAAGGGTCAGGGAATTCACCCTCACACCCAGTTAGGACCTGGGAAGGTCTTCAGTTAATACTTAGAGAGAATGCTTCAGTCTGTGTTTTTCTTTTAACATTTTTTATTTGTGGTGATAGCAGAAAAGAGGCTGGGGAAAGACAATCATTCCTATAGGGTGATTGCCAGGAGAGTGAGCAGGGCAAAGGGCCAGAGGCACCACTGCTGCTTGTAGCTGCGGAGCCCAGGGCTAAAGGCCAGTCTCCCTGGGTTCAAGTCCTGGCTCTGCCACGTACTTGATGCCCAGCCTCAGGCAAGTGATTTGACTAGTCATTGCCTCGGTTTCCTCACCCACAAATAGGGATGTGAGTAACACCTGTTTCATGGGGCTGCTGAGAGGATTTAAGAAGAAACACCCCATGTGTTGCAGAGTAGGGCTGTGTTCCATCGGGTCTTTATGGCTGTGACTCGTCAGAAGCAGATTGCAGCTTTCCTTCTGAGGCGCCTCTGGGCGGGTTTCAGTCGCCAGACTCTTGGTTAGTAGCCACCAGGGACTCCTGCTGCAGCGACGAAGGAGCCTGTGTACATAATGCTCTTGGCACAGAGCAAGTGCTGTGGAAGTTCTCCAAACCCCTGTCTGCCTTCCCACCAAGCGAGCCCCTGTGACGGCCGAGACAGGAGAAAGAAGTCCCTGCACAGTCCCAGACTACAGCCTGGTTCTCCCTGCCTTCCTGCCCCAGAGCCAGGGGACCCCCTCTGGCAGCTTGGAGGAGCTGGCCTGGCCCTCACCCTGCCTCCTAGCCTTGAGGCCCAGCCTTCAGGAGAGAGGAAGAGGCACAGACAACTCTCACTAAAAGTCAGGGTTTGTCTGGTGTCCCCGACTGCTCTCAGCACCCTCCAGGCTGCCAGGAAAACAAACCTCTCAGCACAAGTTCAGTCCTTGAGAGTTTGTTCTGAGGGCCCTTCCAGTGCCTCCTCGAGAACCAGGAGGCTCAGCTTCTAGGGCTGACTAGGAATGCCGGGGAGTAGGGCTTGTCTTCAGAAGAGTCTTGGGATTGCTTCTTGTCCCTCCAGCTCCTCTCTCTCTGCCACCTCTTCTGACCCAGGGCTCTTCTCTCTGTGTTGGGCTGAGTCTCTGCAACCTGGGGCAGACCTTCTGCCCCCAGTGTCTCCCCGAGGTCCACCTGAGGGCTTTGCTCCCTCCTCTGACGCTGGAGCTGAGGCAGGGCTTCCTGCTGGTGCTCAGGTTGCACGCAGGCAAATGCACACATGCAGTGAATGTTGCTAATAATTACAGGGCAGGTGGGGACCAAGGCCATGCTCTGCTGGGCAAATTCGCCAGGGTGGTGCCTTCATTTTTTATTTTTAAATACTATTTTATTGTGTTTTTGGTGAAAGTTTACATAGCAGTTTAGGTTCCATTCAAAAATTTCTACACAGTTGTTCGGTGATGTTGGTTACATTCTTCACAATGCATGAACATTTTTAGTATTTCTGTTCTGATTGTCCTGTTTCCATTAATCTAGTCTCCCTGCCCTGTTACATTCTTATCTTTGTTTTTTTTTTTAATCGTGCTTTAAGTGAAAGTTCATTTTTTATTTTTAACCAGCTCTTTTTTGTAGTCACAGACCGAATACGCTGGCCTCTCTGCTTCTCCTTTTCCTTCTCCCTTTTTGCTGCTGTTTGGCCAGCGAGTGGCACCTCAGGGCTCCTGGTAGAGGATGAGAGAGCGCAGCACACAGGGCACCACTAGACTGCTCCCTGGTCTGGTGAGAGAGTCTGTGTGCAGGGAGACTTCCCTCATCTTGGCTTCTGCACCTGGGGTTCCAGAGGGGCATGAAGTCACTGACCAGCGTGTTTCTTCCATCCACAGGCATGCATGCCGTTCGGCCTGCACAGACAGTTTCCTGAGAACAACTTGCAGATGATGGTGCAGTCTGGAGCCAAAGGCTCAACTGTGAACACGATGCAGGTGTGAGCAGAGGCAGGCTGGCGGGGTGCCAGAGGCCCGGGGGAGCCCAGGAGGCTGCTTTCAAGTTGGTTTGTTTCTGATTTTAAGAAGTTCCACGTTCCTTATAAAATGTGGCAAGTACAGAAAAGTATAAAAGCATATGTATGAATCACTACAGGTGCTAACCATTGTTCACATGTCAACATTATAGACAGATATAAACATACAAATATTGTATACAGTAAATACAGTAAAATCTGCAAAAGCCAGAACCTGTGTAAGGCAAAAACCTGTCAGAGAAGGAAAACACAAGTATTTTCCACTAAAACAAGTGATAGAAAAGTGGTAAGACTGCACCCTGTCAAAGGCAGAAAACTTGCAAGACCCAACTTTGGGAAAAACAAGGCAGTCCCGTTGAGTTTCAGCTCTCACAGGTTTCACTGCAGTATAGACGTATACTATACATTTACGTGCTATTCCTACTGTGCTGTAGTACGTATATTTATGCTATATACGAATATTGTGTGTGTGTGTGTGTAGTCTTAGCTGAGAGCCTATCGTTTAGTATTATCTGCTTTTTTCTCTTATTATGTAATAAGCTTTGTTCTAGAAGTTTCTTAGCCTTTAATTTGAGGCCTGTTATCTCCTCAGATTCCCACTGTTCTATACTGACATTTTCACAAGTCTTAACCACAGTAAGTTTTTTGTTGGCTTCTGACTTGAGGAGCTTGAGCAGGTACTAAGGACCACCCCTCTGTTGGGGAGTGCAGCGCGGCTGAAGGTCATCAGAAAGCCTTCCCCTGACCAAAGGGAACTCCAGGCACACTGCTCTTTTCCTCCCAAGAATATTAATAGGTGGTTCTCTGAGCAAGTAGCTAAATGGCTTCTTGGGTCCTCTTTTTGTTCTAGAAGTTAAGGATTACAATAAATCCCTTTTCTCCATGGGCCTCAGTTCCCCCCATTTAAACTCTCAAGTCTCTTCCAAGTATAACATTTGATGACTCCGAGACGTGGCTTCTCTTACCAACATGACCCATTTTCAGCTGACCCCAGGTGGGAAAATCAATCTGTCAAAAAAAGAAAGGTACAATTATTTACTTGAAAAGCAAGCTGCTCTACTGCATTTAAAAAGCTCGGTTGGCCTTCAAGAATTTGGGTTCCACAAAGCTTTGAGGAAGAGCAGGCTGTCCCTCCCCTGCTAGAACAAAGTGCTCACGCGTGTGTGGATCCTGAGTGCCTCTGGCTTTCCTCCCCAGATCTCCTGCCTGCTGGGCCAGATTGAACTGGAAGGTCGGAGACCCCCGCTGATGGCATCTGGCAAGTCGCTGCCCTGCTTTGAGCCGTATGAATTCACTCCTAGGGCTGGCGGTTTCGTCACCGGCAGGTTCCTCACTGGCATCAGGCCTCCTGTATGTGTTTTGGTTTTTCCTTTTGGGTTTTCTTATTTCTAGATTCAGTGCTAGGTGACCCGTGACTCCCACCAGCAGCTTTGAGCAAGGCTGATCAAGCAATAAGCTACTTACCATTTAACCCACTAGACATTAGGGCCTGTGAAGACACAGACAGGTCGTGTTCAGTGCCACTAGAGCCTACACAGCTCCTGGCACATAGTGGGTGCTCAGTAAATGTTTACCAGTAAATGAGAAGGTGAATAAGACCAAACCCAGCTCCACCGTTTCCTGCTGTGCACCCCTCTAAACCAGTTTCCTTACCTGCATTTGAAGGCAGCTGGAGGAGGGGTACCACTCACCAGGATGGTCTTCATTGCCAAAAGGAGCACCCCAGAGAGAGTTCATGAAGGCCCCCAGGGGCAACTCCTGGGGCTTCTCCTTCACAGCAGGAGAATGGACTATTGATAGCGAATGTCGAGTTTTTGCTTGGTCAACAACAGAATTTCTCTTCACTCTTGTCAGAAATTGCTTTTCAAAACATCCAGATTGTGACAGAACCATTTGCTTCAAGGCCATAGACTGTTCCGTGGACTCCTCCACTGCCCACATGGGGCCCTGCAGTGGTCACCCCGGCCTCTGGCCAGAGATAGTGGAGGGTCGATGTTACCAAAAGTTTTCAAGCTGGTTGCCACCCATTGGGAGGCTATGCAATCATTGTAGTAGACAGTGACCAGTCTTTATGTAATGAAGCAGAATAGGGTGGTAAGGAAAACAACAGTTTATCCCATAGTTCCATAAAGTTTTCTTTTGAGTTATGTATCTTTGGCTGTTGTTGCTGAGAATATACACACCAAACAACACTAATTCAACAGTGTCTACCTGTACAATTCAGTGACATTGATTACACTCTTTGAGTTGTGCAGCCATTCTCACCCTGCTTTTCTAAGTTGTTCCTCCCCCATTAACATACACTCACTGCCCTCTAAGGTTGCTATTTAATCTTTCGAGTTGCTCTTGTCAGTTTGGCCCCATACAGGTAGTTCTTTAAAGAGCATAAAGCTCAAGCAAGATATTTTTTACTGGTTAAGCTAAACTGTTGTTTGGTTTTAAGAAGACTTCACGGGATATGTTTGGTTTAAGATTTAAAGATTATCTCAGGACGATAGTTTCAGGGGTTCATCCAGCCTCCGTGGCTCAAGAAAGTCTAGAGTCCATGAGAATTTGAAATTCTCTTCTGCATTTTCCTCCTTTTGATCAAAATGCTCAGTAATGGTAGCTGGGCACCATCCAGTTCTTCTGGTCTCATGGCAAAGGAGGCAGTTTGAATTATGTATCTTTATATGCATGTGTATATATATGTGTGTGCGTTTGCTGATTACCATTGTAAATGTATACCGTGGGTTGCTATCAAAAAGTTTGGAAAATACTATGTACGTCTGTTAACACTGTTGGGAGCAGAATTCAGATGTGTGGACTGAACTAAACAGTAATGAGCCACTGGTGTCTTTTTTATTTAGAAAATGGGGTGGGGTGTACTAATCAGGGTCGCTGAGAGGGTGGAAGGCACGAGTGTAGGTAAAGCACCTGGCTCCCTGTAAGCGGTAGCTCTTACTTCTGATTCACTTGTCCCTTCACATGGAGAGAGACAGACAGACACAACTGTACGGGAGGGCAGACGTCACTAGAGGCCATTGGAGCCCTCAAAGTCAGGGCTGGGGATCAGACGGGAGTGGCCCCCTTTGGTCAGGAAAGGCTGCTGGAGGTGTTGGCTTGTCACCACCATGGGGACCCGCTCTTCTTCTTCCACAGGAGTTCTTCTTTCACTGCATGGCAGGGCGGGAAGGTCTGGTGGACACCGCCGTGAAAACCAGCCGCTCTGGCTACCTCCAAAGGTAAAAGCACCTGCTGTGCCTCCAAGGCCGTTCACCCGTCGTCTTTGATTTGTCATTGTTTACTCATTTAAGATTAAGTTTCCCACGGATGACTGAGACGTGGAAAATAGCAGCTCTTCCTCCCTCCCGGGGCTCGGAGGTTTTATACAGGTGTCCCTACATTCTGTGAGTGCCCCTTTCCTGGGGGAAAGTTGTGGGTATGAGGAAGGAGACGGGCGGTGACTGTAACCAGCCACCCTGCAAGGGCCTCATCCAGCAGGGACGGTGCAGAGAGGGTTGTCGGCTGAAGGAGGCCTCGGCCCCTGCTTGTGAACCTGCTGTTGCTGTTATTTCTCTCCTGATGCGACTGTCACCTTGGGCTCCTCAGCGCAGGCCTGCTGGTGTTCTCCCCTTTGCAGTGAAGGGAACAGGTAGCCACCATAGCTGGCCTCTTCTGGCAGTGGAGGGACTGAAGCCTGAAACCGAACAAGGCTTTAGACCAGGGGCCCTGGAAGGACAGGGTAGCAGATCCCTGCACTCCAGCCTCCCCACCTGGACTGCAGCGTGGGAGCTCTGCTTTGAGGATTTTTTTTTTTTAAGTGGTTCTTCCTGAGCCCAGAGAACCAATGCTGGTAGAAATGATGATGGAAAATGGAGGAGACACTGAAAATACAGACCCGTGGCTTTCGGGCCCTGTTTTAAGTTCTGTCCTCAGGGACCTCAGTGACTGCTGAGCAGTGGGGCAGAGCTTCTTTCTTCCCCCCTTGCTGTTTTGCTATCACAACGTTTCTCCTGTTTCTGAGCCCCAGATTCCCCAAAACTACATGCCTAGCTTTGGTCCCTGCCCCCTCAGCTCCCACGGCTGCAGCCTGTGGGGCTGGGGTGGGCAGGGGAGGGCAGGGCTGGGTGAGAGGCACACCTGGGTGGCTGGCGGGGAGGGAGGCCTATCTCAAACATGGTATGTCGGGTGGGGAGCGGGCACTCACTGCTTTCAACAGAGTTCCCCTCCTAGGGCCATGGGTCACTCGGGCCAGTCCCCTCCATGCACAGGGATTGTTATACCCCACCTCCATTGTCCTTAAATTATTTCAGAATACAAGCTTGTGTAGGGAAAAAAAAACCTAGAGAACAAATGCCCTGTTAATTCTGAGGGCAGGAGTCCCTGAGGCCCATTGAGATGCAGGGCAGGAAGGAGGAGTGTGTTGGGGATCCTGGCTGGAACAGAAGAGCAGCAGTCATGACAGCAAAAAAAAAAAAAACAAAAACAGTTGTCATGGAGCTGATTCCATTTCATGGTGATACCACGTGTGTCAGTCAGAGTAGAGCTGTGCTCCAGAGGGTTGTCGATGGCTGGTTTTTCAGAGGTAGATTGGCAGGCCTTTCTTCTGAGTGCCTCTGGGTGGACTTGAACTTCCAACCTTTCAGTTAGCAGCTGAGTGCTTAACCAGAGCTATGGGATGAATCGGGGCAGGCGAGACTGGTGGAGGAAGTGGTCAGGTTGGAAGGCAGCCTCCCGAGGGTGGCTTTGGAGAGGAAGGAGCAGATGTAGAGAAGGCACAGGGCAGCTGGCCGAGATGTGAGAGTAAGCGACGGGGAGGTGTCAGACTCGATGAGTTTCCAAGTGTGAGTGGCAGCATCGTGGCACTGTCAACAGAAGGGGAGAGGAAATGTGGATGGGGTTGAGATGGCAGCAGCAGGACACTGAAGTAGACCCGCCCAGTGGACCCTCAGAGACGTGGCCTGAAGCTCAGGGAGAGGCCTGGAGGTGAAGCTTTGAGGGGTAGCTGCTGGTGGTGAGACCGGAGCCCTGTGAGGTGAGGGCTCTCTGAGGGACAGATGGACAGAGGGCCGAGGACTGACCGTTGGTGTGTCAACGACAGCAAGTGCCTGTTCAGTGCCAGCCTTGCCTGGCCCTGGCTGGGCTCCAGGAAGGCCGTGCCAACTAACATGGGCACTGCGGGCGGGACTCGGGCTTCAGGGGTAGCTGTGGCTCCTGGGAAGCGCCCTCTTCAGGTGGCAGAAGGAGAAGCAGAGGTAGAATAGTAGGATTGAGGGAAGCCGCTGACCACTGGGAGGACTCAGGAAAAAGGCTAGGGACAGCACTTCTGCTTTCAGTTCCTAATATTCCCTTAGTATCCTTGTCAGATTCTAGACTGACAACATTTAAGAATTATTGGACAGGAAGGCAGTCCCCTGCTTTGCCTGCATTGTGGACGTAAGGACACTGGTCCCTGGGAGTTCTTCATTGCAGGAGAGGTGACGGGCAGGCAGTAGTCCCAGCAGCTGGGAGTGAGGGTCTAGCAGTGGCAGCCGGTCCTTAGTCACGGGGCTGCAGCCGCCCCTCCCAGGAAGACCCTCTGAAGCGCAGCCCTGGCTGAGATATAACAGGTTAACAGCCAGGGGCACTGGAGCCAGCCAGGCCTGGAGCCTCCTTGACTGCAGACCAGCAGGTGCCCCCTCCACCTTCCACCGCCTGTCTCCCTTTCCATCCCCTGCGCTGTCCCTGGCCCCATCAGAAGGCGGCCCTGGGAGGTGTAAGCCTGAGGGCTCTGAGCTGGGTGGTCTCCTTCCAGGTGCATCATCAAGCACCTGGAGGGGTTGGTGGTCCAGTACGACCTGACAGTCCGCGACAGTGACGGCAGCGTGGTGCAGTTCCTCTACGGGGAAGATGGCCTGGACATCCCCAAGACACAGTTCCTGCAGCCCAAGCAGTTCCCCTTCCTCGCCAGCAACTGCGAGGTGTGTGCCGGGCCAGCTGTGCTGGGAGCTGGGGGCCAGGGACGGTGTGGTCATTAGAGAACTCAGGCCCAGCCAGAGGGGGCCACTCAGAAGGAGAGTGGGAAGAATTTACAAAGCACCAGTGCCTTAAAGCCCCTGACATTTTCATAGCCTTTTCCGTTTTCAGAGTCCCTCTGTGGATGTTCCTTTGCTCCTTGGGCGTCATTTCTCGGGGTGACGGGAGGCAGGCATGAGCTGCACTGCAGCAGCAGCTACCATTTGGGGCGTTGCCGTGTGCTGGCCCTGAGCAGAGCACGCTGACTCCTGCCTGGCCTTGTCCTCACTGCAGCCCTGGGAAGAGGTATCACTCTGCCCATTTCACAGTTGAGGCAACTGTAACTTATGGAACTAGCTGGTGAGTGGCAGGCCAGAATTTGAACCTGGGTCCATCTGACACCCAGGCTTGTGGTTTTCATACCGCACCTGCTGCCTCAGTGCTGGCCACCACTGTTGACCGATCAGACATCCCGTTCTGCAGATTGGGAAGCTGAGACTGGCGTGACCTGTCCAGGGTCACCTGGCTGGCTGGTGGCAGAACTGAGGGTGGAGCTCCAGTCCCAGCCCCGTCCCCCCGGTGCTGTCCCAGAGCTCTAGCCATCAGACTTCCATTGCTCCTTCCGCCTCCTTCCCAGAAACTCCCCGTGCTCCTGGAAGGGCTCTGAGTGGCCTGGTCTCTCCCCCACGGTCCTCATCTCTCAAGTCTGTTTTGTACAAAAGCAAGGGCTCGAATTAGCAAGAGGTGCTCAGCCCCTCTAAGTGGCTTTGTGAGGGCTCTGCGTGGACCATCTCGGTCCCGCGAATTATGTAATGTGACCCTTGTGTCCCGCTCTCGTCTCTTTTGTCTTGTGTATGTGATTTTTTTGTTCAGGTGATAATGAAGTCGAAGCATCTCCATGAAGTTTTATCCAGAGCAGATCCCCAGAAAGCTCTCCACCACTTCAGAGCCATCAAAAAGTGGCAAAGCAAGCATCCCAACACCCTGCTGAGAAAAGGTGCCTTCCTGAGTTATTCCCAGAAAGTACAGGTCGCTGTGAAGGCCCTGAACCTCGACGGGGACAACCGGAACGGCCGCAGCCCCATGACTCACGAGGTGACGCAGGGGTGCTGTATCCCCGCACCAGCACACACGGGCCTCAGTCTGTGATTGCGGGCAGGGTGCTGTCCTAACAGAGGGTGTCACGGTGTAGTCCAGGCTCACTCGTTGTCATCAGGCCTCTGCAGGAGGCAGGTGGAACTCGAGGAAGGGCTCTAGAGAGGTGTCGGCAGGGTTTGGGGAGCTAGCTGGGGCTGGGAACTTTGGGGTTCCTCACCACGCCAGATGTGAACAGATGGGGAAAGCAGCAACAGGAAGTGGAGAGGGTGGCCGGGGCGGGGCCTCTTGACGGCAGCAGTCAGCGGAGGGGTGTAGCCTGCTCACGGATCCAGTAGGAAGGGTGGCACCATCATCCTCCCACCCTCCCCTATCCTGCTGCTGCTCCCACCTGCCAAACAGCTGGGAGCCTGGAGGCAGGGGAGGGCTGTGAAGCATTCGCTGTGGGACAGTGTGGGACACAGCTGTGTGAAAGCGCGTGGATCTGGGCCACATCATGGGGTCCATCGCGACCACCTGGCTCATGGTGACTCTGTCCTGCTTGCCTAGGACAGTCAGGGTTTGCTTCTTACCCTGGCAAAATTCATAGTGCCCTGTTTACTCCAGAAGAATCCCAGTTTAGACAGTAAATGCCAGTGTCACCCTGCCTGTGCTCAGTAGGCCAGGATAAGCTGATAAGAGTCAGCATCCATCTGGATAGATTCAGACTGCCCTGCCATCGATTCACTTCCTCCCTTTTTAAGCGTTAGATGGCTTTCTCGTCGTAATTGGGTTTCTGTCCGACCCTCCCTCCCTGCCCTCATTTGAACCCATTGCCTTTGGTCCTACTGAGCGTCACAGGAAGAGAAGCCCATTCCTGGCATCCCCTGACTCAGTGGAGATCACCCTCCTTTTCAGATGCTGAGGATGTGGTATGAGTTAGACGAGCAGAGTCGAAGGAAATACCAGAAGAAGGCAGCACCCTGTCCTGACCCCTGTCTCTCTGTCTGGCGCCCGGACATCTACTTTGCGTCAGTGTCAGAAATGTTTGAAAAAAAAGTGGATGACTACAGTTGTGAGTGGGCATCCCAGGCAGAGAAGAGTTGTGAGAAGTCACAGCTTTCACTCGAGAGGTAGGACATGCTTCGTCGCCTTTCCAGTCAGCGTTTATGGAGCCCCTTCCTTGTTACGGTTGCTGGCTATACAGTGGTGCTCAGTGGCTATTCATAAATGGCCAGCTTTCGTAGGAAGAAGGCTTAGTGAAGTACACAGTTGGATAGTGTAGATATTTCTGATGTGATGTGCAGCTATTTGCACTAGTCAAAAAAATAAACACCCCCTCCTCCCTCCCACCCTGTCAGCACTTAGCACCCCCTCCTAGTTTGTACAAGAGTTTAAACCCTTTGGAATCATCACAATTGGTGAGAGGAGAGAATGAACAAAGGAGAATGTGAATTGTGAGCCCAGAAGTGGTCACTGCCCGGGGGCTGGTAGTTACTGGCCCAGAGTGGACAGTCTGAGCCTGGATATCTAGAAAGTTCAGCCAGCCAGCTGGATCTGTGCAGTGTAATTTAGGGCATTCCGGCCACCGACAGGGATTCAAAGATCAGGAGGACCACTTGCCTGGGAGGACAGGCAGTGACAGAGGTGAAGGTGGTGGTTCTGTTCAGCGCGGCCTCGGATGACTCTGCAGCCTGTGGAGTCTGTGCCCTAACCCTGCCACCCCGCCCCGTCTGCAGGTTGAGGACCCTGCTGCAGTTGAAGTGGCAGCGCTCACTCTGTGACCCGGGCGAGGCCGTGGGCCTGCTGGCTGCCCAGAGCATTGGGGAACCCTCCACACAGATGACCCTGAACACCTTCCACTTCGCCGGCAGAGGCGAGATGAACGTCACCCTGGGCATTCCAAGGTGCGAGTCCCACGGGGTGTGGGTTGGCCCTGTCCTAGGGAAGGCGGAGCCACGGGCTAAGTCATTTAACAAAAGAGGGAGAGATAGGTTCTTGTCAGGGTGGAGGATCGGTGGTCAGGCCTCTTGGGCTCTCCGTTTCTCTTCCTCCTAACCCTGCCCCTGAGTCACCTCTGTGCTTGTGAGCTGCACCGCCCTGGGCCGTCCTACAGGCTCTTTGGGGAGAGGACTCAGGAGCAGACATTGTTAGCAAGCAGCATGCAGGGCCACCTTGCTGCCCAGCTCTGGGGCACCGTTCACACAGACTGTAACCTGATAGTGGGCCTGGCCCTTCAGGTAGATTTATGCACACTGCAGTGCGATGACCGCTAGGCGAGAGGAAAGCACGTGGGGTCAGAATACCACAGTTCTGCCCTTAAGGAGCCCGTGCTGCAGCAGGGGAACTGACAGGAGTCGCTTGCTGTCACAGAGAGCCCGAGCTGGGTTCCCTGACCCAGCCCATTTCCCTGTGCGATCCCAAGGCCTCTCAGATCCCAAAAGAATGCAGACTTCCTTAGAAGAGTGGCCTCGCACAAATAGGGGAGCTGGTTACCTCTTATCACATGTGCCAAGCGGCAATACCCCTTGTTTTGGGACAGGTTGAGGGAGATTCTCATGGTGGCCAGCGCCAACATCAAGACGCCCATGATGAGCGTGCCCGTGTTCAACACCAAGAAAGCACTGAAGAGAGTGAAAAGCCTGAAGAAGCAGCTCACCAGAGTGTGCTTAGGGGAGGTAACTGCTCTCCCGTGCCCAGGCTAAAGCTGGGTGCAGGCTTTTTCCTATGTCCTCTCATCCTTAACAGACTGCTGGCCGCTCCAGACCCCGGGCCATACTCCCACCAGTGACAAATCTGCTCTCCATGCCATGTGCTGAGAGGGATGGATCAGGAAGGTTTTAAAATAATCATTAGTTCAGCAGCACTCTTGTGGGGCTGACAGATAAAAATGCTTCCTGATTAGCTCACCAGCTCCGCTGGAGTCGTCTCCAGAGAGCCTGGGTCGTCCCTGGAGGTGGCCTGCACGCTCTGAGGGATCCACACTGGCGGAGATCGCTGGCGTTTCTTTGGGGCTTTGCCTGTGGCCCTGGCTGCTGTCTCCCTAGACCCTTGCAGGGCACAGTCCCTGGGACCTGGCCAAGTCGGGTTCTCTGTACCTCTGGTTCTAGGTGCTGCAGAAAATAGACGTCCAGGAGTCCTTCCGTATGGAAACAAGACAGGAGAAATGCCGGGTGTACCAGCTGCGATTTCAGTTCCTGCCACGTGCTTATTACCAGCAGGAGAAGTGCCTGAGACCCGAGGACATCCTGCACTTCATGGAGACAAGGTCAGTATCTTAGTTATTCCATGCTGCTACAACAGAAATACCACAAGTGGAAGGCTTCAACAAACAGAAGTGTATTCTCTCACAGTTTAGGAGGCTAGAAGTCCGAATTCAGGGCACCAGCTCTGGGGGAAGGCTTTCTCTCTCTGTCGGCTCTGGTGGAAGGTCTAGGAGCTTCTCAGTGAGGGGACCCCAGGTCCAAAGGACGCCCTCTGCTCCCAGCACTGCTTTCTTGGTAGCATGAAGTCCCTTCTCCTCTCTGTTCCATTCTTGCTTTTATATCTCAAAAGAGATTGACTCAAGATACAACCTAATCTTGTAGATTGAGTCCTGCTGCATTAACATAACTGCCTCTAATCCTGTCTCATTAACATCATAGAGGTAGGGTTTACAACACATAGGAAAATCACGTCAGATCACAGAATGGTGGACAACCACACAATACTGGGAATCATGACCTAGCCAAGTTGACACACATTTTGGGGGGACACAATTCAATCCATAACAGTCAGGTTTTAGGTTGTGTTTGTCATTGACCTTGGCCCAGAAAGCACTTCTGACACAGGACTTCCCGAGACTGGGTGCTCAGACTGGCGAGTGCGGGACATGCCTCAGGTGGCTGTCACCGTGCAGGAACGTAGGCCAGGGCTGTTTAAAAGACAAGTGCCCTTTTCTTTTGGTTGCTTTTGCTTTTATAAATAAGGTGTCTCCTAGTTTTTAGACATTAGCAACTAATTCATGTTTTTGAGAGCCTGGTAAGGCCCGAACAGGCTCCATTTGTTGGCAGGATTCGGCCCATGGGCCACTGTCCACCACCTCTAACGCAGACCAGCTCTAAGGTCTTCCTGGAGCTGCTGGGATATCAAGAACCTGGCAGAGCAGAAGCAGAAGGCTTCACTGTGCTCGTTTATCCCCCACATATACTGAGTGATGCCCACTCATGGCTGAGTCATCGGGGCGGGCATGGCTGAGAGAGAGTATGACTGCTCTGCCATTGACCGTCTTCTTCCCTCTCCCCTGAAGATGGGAACTGGATTTGGTCCAGCCCTCTTAGCAGGTGGAGTCTGGGAGGGGACTGTGGTAGACGAGCTTGTGTGGATAGGGCCCATTGACTAGGCGGATCCTGCCCCCGGGACATGAGCCCTGGCTCCGCTGCATTGCTGTCCCCCTGGGTTGATCAGTCAGGCCCCGGTGCTGTCCCTTGGGCTGGGCAGTGTCACAGGAGACAGTGTACGTGTCCACCTGCTGGCTTCTGATTCAGTGGTGAGGATTTTAACTACCTGGCATCTCAGGTGCTTGTGCTGGCCAGTTAGCCCTTTTGTGAGAAATGGAAGTTAGGATCACACAGCCCCTTGGCAGTTACAAGAGCAGGTGGAGTTGGGGGTTCTGCCCCATCTCTGTTCCCCCGAGGCTTAGGCCTGCCAAGCAGGTAGGTCGGCATGAGGCGAGTGCTAGGCACTTTTTACATACAGTATCTGGTGGGATTACAGATAGTAAGTCACGTTTTTTTATTTCTTCGTGATGAGTGACAGCCCTGGCTTGTTCCCAGCGGTGAAGTGCCTTTTCAACTCCTAGTTGTATTTTGCTTGTGCACTTGACAAGCTGTGATAAGCAAAGCTGTGTGCTTTGGTGCAGTTACTACTCCTATGACTTCAGCAGATTGGACCTTAGGTCTTGGCCACAGATACATGAAGAAGCAGTGTACGAATTGGATGTGGTTTGGGCTCCCTTTGTCAGCCCTGGGCAGTGAAGCAGCCACGTTAAGCCTCTTACAGACCAGGAAATACCAGCGAGCTTCCAAAACCCTGGGTGGAGAAACCCCCAGGACCCTCCCCTTTCCTCTCTGCCTCCCTCCTCTTCTCTCTCACTCCCCTGTCTGCCCTTCCTGTCCTTCCCTCCCAACTATGAAATCATGAGGCTCTTTTGACATAGACTGCAGGGAAAAAAGAACAGAGACAGAGAGGCACTTCCCTAGGTGGAGAAGTATAAGCATTGGGGGTCCCCTAAATGTCTAAGCTGACACCGTTACTTGGAGTGTTTGTGGAAATTATCTGGAAGGTGGGCCGGGAGCAGGCAAGTGGAAGGAGTGCAGGGTGAGGAGTCGGGGGAGGTCTGGCCTCAGCCCCCAGCCATGAAGTGACCACATTGGCGGCCTCTGCAGGTGTAGCTGCCGTGCACCCAGCTCTCCAAACAGCATGTGGTGGACTGTTTGCCTGGTGCGTCCCGACACAGCCAAGGGTCATATTCCCTGTTTGTAATTATTTATGTGGGATGGGTGGGGCCTCTGCAGTCTGCCCCTCCTGTTCCCTTGCAATTGCCACATTCTGACAAATAGCAAAACCTCCAGAGAACAGCCGCTGTGGGCCTTCCCATCCCTTACTATTGGCAGAATCCCAAATGGCAAATGGTTGTCCCCACCAGGAAAACTCTTGCACCCTGGTAACAGGAATACCACTTAGCAGTCGGGCGCTTTTTGTACCCTTTCACCCTCTCCCATGTTCTCTACAGTACTCTTCACCGAAAGAGACAGGCAGGGTAGCAAGGAGTCCACTAGAGGGCTGGGGAAGGCTCCTGGGAGAGCTGCGTCTGCACTTAGACCCAGCCTTGAAGGATGGGTACAGCTCCAGCAGGTAGATAAGAGCTGGAGAAATTTCAGAGTGAATGGCTTCAGCAAAAGCCCAAATTCCATGGAAGGGTGGGGACAGATGGGTGATCTTCGTAGAGACCAGTTGTGGAGGACTTGAAATGCTAGGGAAGGAGCCTCAGAGGCAGTGAGACCGGCCAGGGGCGCCTCCTGAGCCCGCACAGTCAGCCCACAGCGGAGGGAAGCAGCATTACTGAGGAGCTCCTTCCTGCGCAGGCAGCAGGCCGAGCACTTCTGCACTCCCATCCCATCCCATCCCATCTCATCTCCTGCACTCTGCAGCAGCCCCACTTTGCAGGTGAGATCCAGGCCCTCACCAGCCCAGCAGACCTGGGACCTGAACCTGAGTCTGTCCTTTCAGAAACGTCTCTCCCACCTCTTCCCCAGTTGTTTCTATCTTGGGAGAGTCAAGCCCTGCCTGGCCTCGTGTGGCCTCGTCCTCTGTCCCCAGCATCTACTGAACAAAGTCTACACTGGATTAGTCAGAGTGAGGAACCTTTCTTCTGCCAAGGGCAGAAACCTTGGCAGAACCATGTACGAGTCAAAAATGAAATTTTGAAAAGGAAATTTAGGAAAACAATACCATTTATAATAGCCCCTAAAAAGATAAAATACTTAGGAATAAATCTGACCAGGGATGTAAAAGAC